CATAGCCCAGTCGCCTGATTAATAAACCCCCTCCTCTAAATACGGATTTTAATAGGGATCCTAATATTTAGCCCCTTAAATGGAAGAGGTTTATTAATCATGGGTCTACATTAAGTGCTAGCAACCCCAACCTGGTTGCATGAAGGCTGTTTCGACGCAAGCCGTCCACTGCTCCTCATGCGAATAGGCTGGGGGGGGGAGGCTAAGGATTTAGGATTACCAGGTTTTCATGGCCCCTTTAGACTTGTCCCATGGGAAAAACCTACTTTAGAGCTTACCTTAAATTATCTTGGCTCTTGAAGCTAGATGAGGAATCAAGGCTTTCGGGAGTCTCTACTCTAAATTCTGCTGTAAATACTTCTGTGATTTGTATGTTTCGGGTTTGAAGTTGCTCCTGATCCGAATGCATGTCGTGATTCCTCTGCGCTTCGAACTGGATCTGCCCAGGCCTAGTGTGTCAAAACATGCAGCTAAGGGACACGGTTTTGATTATATGAAGTTATATGTAGGACTTTCCGTAGATAGTCTGTAATTCAAGGTTCAAGGATGCCACATTCCTCCCTATCCCCATCTATCCCCTGCGGGTACCATATTCAGAAACCCCATTACAAGGAGATTCTGGGGGTCACCCGGATTCTGCGGAACTCCCATGTTGCGATCATATTGAATTTTGCCAGCTTCTGTAGGGGCTATAAAGGGAGCTTGTATAGGCCCAGAATTGAATCGAAGTATTGAATCTCAGAGGTTTCTGGCTTTATGTGCACAGTCTTTCAGGACCTGTGCAAACTTGAGAAATTGGTGGGGGACTTTGATGAGGAAAGCCTTCTTCTTGAAGGATCTTAATATGATGAAGATCATGATTCACATGCCTAATATGGAGGGAGGGTACAGTGAGGAAATCATTTCCTCTGGGGAGCTAGCATTGCTTTCAATGAAAAACAAGATACAAGGTTCTGGTTAGCATTGAAGGATCGAGGGTCGTCAAAACTGTCAAGCAGTCTCTGCAAACCCTTGCCGCACTGATTCTTCCTCGAAAAAAAGCAAAACTCTGCCCAACAATGGTCCAGGTGCTGGAAGGAAATGTAGTAGGAGTTTTGCCCAGGATCACTGAACTTGTGCCGTGCGACAGCTCTCTCAATCACTGAAATGTCAGAGGCGCCGCGACTTTTTTCAGTGGCCAAGCCCGTCACCACCTGAGTTTTTTGTGTTCGGACCCTTTTCCATCTTGTGGGGAGGGTTCCCAAAATCAGGGTCCCAATTTGGTACCCCTAAGTATTGGGTGCCGCAATATGACGTATACCCAAAAGGCGTGCATCATTTTGAGAATAACCCTTATGATAGAATGCTCTATTCAGGCAGGGTCGGGAGCGCAGTGCACCCCAGAAACCTACTTCCCATCTGGAATGCAGGTTACAGGCGTTTCTCAGAACATTGGATCTAAAAACCCTAACCCTGAACCCTAAACCCTAAACCCTTATACCCTGAACCCTTATACCCTAGACCCTATACCCTAAACATGCCAGCCTGGGTCTGCGCATTCTGCGCCAGCACAAAGTTCTGGATACCTCCACAAAGCTCGCGCTTCACAGATGCCATGGTCTCCCCCAAAGGCTGAAGCATGATGAGGTAAGGCACCAACAAAGTTCCCAGAAGCACCAGGAACAAAAAGACCGCCTCAACTTGACTTCGGCGCTGGCAGTACCTCACCTTTACGGGCTCCAGCTTTCTGACTGCCAGCTTTATGGAGATTGGAGTGAAGGATGAGAAGAGCCACTCGTCCACGTCCTTGCTGCTTGTCAGAAGGGAGTGCAGAAAGGTAAAGCAATATGGAAACTAATAGGGTTTTGATGGCACTACAGCTACGAATAATGGGAATCCATTCCTCTATTCCCTTCTAACCGAAATGAGCATCCAGAATGGCATTTAGTGCCACTGCATTCAACATCAAGTCGGTGATAGAAGTAGTGCGAGCAAGCCAACGGATCCCTGCAAACAGCAGTACGGATGCGAGAACTGCACGAGTAAAGAAAGCCAGCAGGAGCGTGTGAAAGCGAGAGCTCGACAGGCTCCGCAAGCTATTTTGGAAGAACCTTGGGCTGTTTTACTGGGCCCACGGAGCAGATGTGATTTTGTTGCGGACATGGGGGTGTGCAACAAACGGCAAGGTTTTTAGCTGAAGAAATGTACTGTAGCTTCCTTAAATAAAGTCTGATTTTCCATTTGATTCTCCATTGAGCTCTGGTCTAAATTCTTAATATCCCCCTTAAAAAGCCCAGTATAATACTCCCCATACAATCCCCTATATAGCCCCCTTTAATTCAAGGAGTTTAGACTACAGCTCATTATGGGGGGTAACACAAAATCAGCGAGGCGCACGGTGGTGGGCGACCGAGGAAGGCAACAAACTGCTTCCACAGACAGCAGAATGTGTCTGAACTCCTCTTCTTACTGGTTCTGAGTAGGGAATATGGGAATAGAATATATAGCGTCTATATAGGGATTACAATAGGGAATAAGGGAATATAGTACATAGAGGTTACATAAGGATTATAATGGGAATATAATACATAGGCGTTATACAGGGATAACGGAAAAGAAAATGGAAACTACTACTTTACAATAGTGTATATATTGGGGTTATAGTAGGGAATCAAGGGATATAAAATATGAGGTTATATAGGGATTCTATTCCAAGACTCCCTACTAAGAACCAGCAAGTCCTCTGGGTTGCGAGTTGCACCCTCTGATAGTGGGTTTAGGGTTTAGGTTTTAGGGATTTGCAACTTCACAACACAAGCCTATCAGCGAAGAGGGGATAAAAGAAAACCCTCTTCAGGATCCTTCTCAACAACCCCAAGCCAAGACCTTAAACCCCCTAAGCACTAAGCCCTAAACCGTAAACCCTAAGCCCAGCCTTGTAGACGCAAAGGCTCCAGAGAAGAATGCAAAGCACACAAAGCAAGATGCCAGGCTGGAAAAAGCCTGGATCGAAGTCCTGGCCCCCCAAACCTGGATCATTGCTAGGAGGCTATGGGCGCTGCGCATCCCTTTTAATATATCTGGGAATGCTAGAGATGTAGGCCGATGAAGGGGGGGTATCTTAACGGACCCCATTGCAAAACACTCAGGACACCTTTTGAGCAACACACAAGGTCAAACATGCAGGTCTGGGGCATTTGTTCACCCTAAGTTTAGCACGTGCCCATATCTCCTAAGAGCACTTGGGAAGAAGCGTTGCTGCAGTTTAAGTAAAAAAATCCAAAGCTGTTCCCAACAGTCACGCAGAAGCCCATAAAGCTGTTGATCTGATTCACTAATGTTGCTTGCACAGTGGAAAGGATGAGAGCGCCATCCCCACTGCACACCCGTGTGGCAAGACTAGTTTGCGACAAGTCCATGTACTTGTAGTCATGAGCTATTCCATCTCGCCACCTTTGGGCAGTCGCGATCTCCTCCGAGAACTCTGCACCCATGAAGCTTGGCCCCAAAATGACGTAGGCAAACATGATCTGCATGCCCAAATTCAGTAGAAGAAGCAATATGGCAAGCGTGACATCCAAGGGGCTGGCAGAAGTCAAGCCTAATATAAAGGGGAAGGTCCAGGCGCTCTCACCAAAGAAAACGTCACCCACATGATCTGATCCTTCCTGCTGGCAACCTTCCTTTTCCAAAACATCTGGCTCGGATTCAGCAACCCCAATACAAACCAGATCTTCTCCTGCATCTTTTTCTCCTTTGCCCCCAACACCAACAACATTCTCCCCACCTCCTCCTCCTTCCTTTTGTATGCAGAAGCTGTTGGGCTGAGTGAAAGCCTCTATGGCCGCAAGTCGCGAAGCCAAGTCGTCGAAGTCTCCACGCAGCTGCTCCCGAAGAGCTCGAACTCACGCTGCAAGGCCAAGACTTCGGGCGTCACTGACGGGAACGGCATCCTTCCTATGAATCTTCCAGGCAAGATTTCTGCATGTGAGGGCCCCTTGTTGCAAACTTTAACAGGAACATCTATAAAGTGCGCCCTAAGGTTTAGCACCCAACTGCAAAAAATGCTGGCTAAAACCTAATCCCCTTGAACCCCGCAGCACCGCATAGGCTCGAGCCAGATCTGTTGAGCATAGCAGCATAGTAGCGTTCATATTCCCAGGGACATGCAGGATTTCCGGACATTAGGGTGGTTTAGGGTTTAGGGTTGAGGGTTTAGGGTTTGGGGTTATGGAGGTCCCCATTTATGGAAGCTACCTTTTGTTGAATGAGCAATCTCCTGCCCACTCCCCATGGACAAATAGCTGTTGCACACATCCTGCAGGGGGTTTAGGGTTTAGGGTTTAGGGTTTAAAGGTTTAGGGTTTAGGGGTTTAGGGTTTAGGGGATAGCAAAAGCTCAAAGCCCAGGTTTGCGTTGGAAAGCTTCGTGAAAACCTTCCAGACTTGGGGGGTTTCTCAAAATCATTCGCACTTTTTTTAGGGGTCCTTATAATGAGGATTATAGCATTTTGGGGTCTTTATCGGGGTCCCCCTATTTGGGGAAACTAGCACTTGTAATGGCGCGATGCGTTTGAACCTGGATGTCCTCAAACACTGAAATCTTCGGAAATGCTTGACAACAGCAACAGCCAGAAGAGTATCAAGAAGTAACTATGTTCTCGTAATTATGTTCTCTTAATATTCTAAGCTATTATAGTAGTTTCCATGTTCTTTCATGTTCTTGCCATTATCCCCATATAATCCCCAATAAACAAGCTTAAGTTTTGATTATAACCTGCCAAGGCATAGCACCATAGAATGTTTTCGCCGCCCAAACATCAGGAGCTGCGCGGAAGGTTGGTTCTTCATTCAAACTGTCTCAAAATTACGGGAACAACCAGAGGCCCTAAGATGCCATGCTTAGCCAGGCTTCTTGGTTACTGAACTCAGCATGAAGTCCTCCAGAGTGGCTGGAATCTTCCTCAACGGACGCCTCCTCTGTAGCGCGGAAAGGAAGATCCAAGGCACGAGAGCCATCAGTCACCTGAAAAAGGTATACGCGATGATGGCCTGGAGCCCGAGCCAAACGTGCTGTAGCAGCTCGGCTGAGTTGACAAGGATAGCACCGGGACTGTAATTCCAGGCGCAGCTCATGACAAAGTTGGAGTCCTGAGTGCAGTAGCCCCGAATAATGCACTGAGGATCTCTGCAGTAGAGTGCGTTCGGGCAGTCGCTGATGTCACACTTGCCGTCGCTTTCAGGACCCACGTGTGAGCAGTGGTGCAAGGCCTGTTCCTCTGCAATGCCTGCAAGATGCCTGTGAAGCAGTCGGCAGCTCTGCGAATTTCCCCGCGAAGTGTCATCGTCTGATGCACAGCGGTATGGCAGGCTGTCATAGTAGGACCTGCACTCCTCCGTAGTGTTGAAGGGTATCTTCAGCTGTTCGTGGCAAGCTCCACTTGGGGCCGCGCACCTCACAGGTCCACAGGTCTCTTCGATGACCTGGCATATGTAAGTACTAGACTCTGCTGGAACTCCCACCTTGGCAAGAGCAGCTGTCGGATCGCTCACAGTGTCATTGATCTGGTATATGCACGAGCCCTTGAATGCAATCTTTACCTCGTTGAAAAAGGGAATGGGAATGACAATGCCACCTGAGCCATAATCTCAGCTCCTTAAAGAAGGGTCACTTAGGAGGATTATATGAGACTATTATAGGGGCTACTTGGAGTTTTAGACTCTAGCCCACCTGGCAAAAAAAAGTAGGCCGAGGACCCCTCCGTAAAGGATGCGACCGTGCCATCTTGGTTCCATCGGATGCCTTTGTCGTTGACGCGCCTCTCTTTGAATGAGAAAACGCCACCATTGACCTCGAAGAAGGACGCGGAGAGGTACTCAATGACATTGGAACGAGGTTCCCAATCACCTACCAGATTTGTGTACAACTGAACATCCTCGCACATGAGCTGTTCCCATTCCTCCTCAATCTTGGAGAAATTGAAAGGGCGAATATTGAATGTCTGGTAATAGCGGCTGATTACTTGCTCCTTCTCTTCCAGCTCGGGAGCATCCGCAGGCACCCTCAACCTATGGTCCTTGAAGAGAGCTATCAGGCTTGCGTCATCATGCTTGCATCCACCGCTGGGGCAAGACTGCGACCTAGCTTGTACAACAGCCACACCAAGGATACAGCACGCAAGCGCTTTTGTCATGCGCATGGCTTCCAATAATAAATACGGCCTCTGCCGTTGCCAATTGGGCTGGATGCCGCTTGTGGGCAAGGTGCAAGCCTCTATAGTAAGCCGAAATGGTCAAACAAATTCCAGAATGAGCGTTCGGACAACGCGAAACACAAACATGAAACTTAGGTTGCACCTCAACTGTGCTTGGCTAAGAAACTGCCAGAATAAGAAGGTCAATGGGGGCATGTGTTGACTGTGGCCGTCAGCGCGAATAGCGACTATCACTCCAACTGCTCCGGCAGATGCAACACGCAAGCTTCTTCAAAAATGCTTAGCAAGACTTTGAAAGGTTTGTGGAAAAAATGCGTTTTAAGAATTTAAAAGTAAAAGCCACCTACTCCTCTTAGAAACTCTCTTACGCTACTGCATGACTGAGGGATTAAGGATTCCGGATTGTTGCACCCCAGCCTGAAACCCGCACAAAAGTGTTGCTGTGCCAAACACGAAAACGAGACAGATCGCCGCGTTGGCCGCGTTGAAAAACAACAGATGACGGTTGACTATCAGGACTTTCCACAACCATGCTTACCAGCGTGAAATTGGTGAGCTGCCACTACCCAAGGCCCCAAACGTTGCTTGGCTTTCATCACCCGACAATTAGATATTCACAAAAAAAACGGCACCACATCCCGATCAGACTTCATTTCCCTTCCCCAAAGCCCCGCTCGTGGACCGAGCTCGCATCTAACATGTCAGCCGCGAATCAGTCTCAGTCTGGAATGAAATGTTGCAAGCGTCTGTATGCCCAACCGGGCTGATTCTGTCCCAATGCAATTCGCCAGCCTGCTTTTTCATGAGCGAGCGTCAGCCGAAGTTCAAGTCCACGAGGCAGTGGGACCAAGGCACAAATTGCAGAAGCACATTTGCTGACGCCTTTGAGATGCCTCGCAACGTGCTGCAAGGATCTGGAGGATTCAGAGCAGTTGCATGCGTTGAAGTCAGGACAAGCAGAGAAGTTACAGAGCGGCAAGGGAGAAAGTTGCTTGGGGAAACGGACTCTGACAAGACGTGCGCTACAGCTTGTTGCATGCAGGTGCATGCCCCTAGCAGAGCAAGCAAGCATCAGCAGCACATGCGGCATGGATATGGAACCCGACGGGCAAAGGACTGATGAGGAGAATGCCCCTCATGCGGCATGGAAAGGAAGCGTGACAGGCAAGTTGGCTGTGATAAGGACACACTGTATTGCAATTGAGCCAGTAAGACTGATGGAGATGCTTGCCGCGCATTCTGACACAAAGCAATCTGGGCAAGCATTACCAAGCTGCAGGTTGCGGCAATGCGCATAATGCTGATGAAGCTGCCAACGTCGAAGGCTGGAAGGCCTGGGCCAAAGTGGGGACCAGCCTAAGCGAGCGAGAGCAGTGCAAGATGAAGCCTGCATGGCTGGGCAACGGCACACAACATCTTGCATTCTGGGCGGTCTTTGCATGTGCAAGGAATGCCGGCATCAATCCACATGAAGCAAAACGTGACAGGCAATGGGGCTGTGACGAACACATCCAATATTGCAAATGCGTCATTAAGACTGATGGAGATGTTTCCTGAGCGTTCTCACGCAAAGTTGCAGCAATGCACATGGTGCTGAAGAAGTTGCCACTGTCGAAGGCCAGGAGGCGCTGTCTAAAGATCTCCTCAGCTGAAGAGCAGGCAATCCAAACACATTTTCAGATGTCTGGTC